GCGGTGGCAAATGGCTTCTTGAGCCGCTTAGGTCCACAAAAGAGGCCAAAAGTGGCTTCCTCCTGATGACTTCTTTCCGATAGCCCACTCGAAAAGGAGCTAAGCTGATGTCTTAACCGAAAGTAATCACCCTACGAAGCGAGTTGGCCATCCAGGCAAAACGGGGTGCTTTATAAGAGTAATTTGTATCCTATAATTAAATAATTGGTGTGCCTAATATATTTTATTTGCAGAACCTTTATTTTTCTTTAAGTGTATTTATTTCCCTAATAAAACTGCTTTCAAAGATTCATTTTCCAATGGTCGAAATTTTGACCCCTGTTTATGTCAGATTTTTCCAAGTTTTTAATGGTTTTCAGCATAGTAAAATAAATAGTTTTATATATAATGCTATGAATAAGGCCTAAACGAAATAATAATAGGAGATGTATTTTGCAATAACGTTGCAAAGTTCTGTAATCCGATTTTGCTATAGTCACTATATGAGCAGAGTGGCGCAGTGGAAGCGTGCTGGGCCCATAACCCAGAGGTCCGAGGATCGAAACCTTGCTCTGCTATGTGTTAAATTTATTTTTTTGTCCCCCCCAAACGTATTTTAACTCTATTTTGTTGCATCCGCTTAAATAAGAAACTCATAAATACTCAAATGCAAATCAATTGTAAATATAGTAGCCAAAAAAAACCTTCCCATGGAAATGCCCAGTCAAAAGCTGGGAAAATCTCAGCCGAATGCCAAACAAGATGCCCACATAAATCTTTCGGCAAAAGCGTGCGGGTTCGAGTTCTGAGTTCTAAGTTCCAGTTCGGAACTCTCCTCCTTTATCTTTATCAGCTGCACAGTTCTCGATGCCAAAGCGCGAGAAGCAGATATCGCACAGCTGCTCGAGGCATTCCACGCACATGTCCACGATCCCATTGAGATTTCCTCCTCGCTGCTTTTTCCTCTGTTTCTGTTTCTGGGGTTAAATCGCGGAGAAGGCGGTGGCCATGTGCTGCTCTTCACTTCGACTTCACGTCGACGGCGGCGGCTGCATGCCATAAAAATGATGAGGCGAACTGGTTGCTGCCAGCCGTCGATTGAAGTCGCAGTTTGGCCAGCAAAAGATGCTGATAAGTGCAAATTAATATACTACAAAATATGTAAAAATGTTTATATATTTTTAATATATAGCTTGTCTTTGGAAGGAGTTAAATAGGTTGTCAAAGGTAATGCTATCTCATAAATATTGATAGTAATTCCCTTGGAAGGCTCTCAAAACCCGACATATGTGCCGCGGAAGTAGCCAATCTGGCATTTCTGGCATTTCTGGTGCCCGTGTGCCGGCTGCATCGCATGTGCGATCGGGACGAGGAAAGCGCACACATGTGACGTGGACAGCTGGGAGGATGGAAGGGCCTTGCCGAGGGGGTTGGTCGGGAGGGAGGTTGGATGGTTGGATAGGCAGGCAGAAACAAAGGCAAGCCGAACAGAAACGTCCTTGCCCCGCAGCAGGAAGCTGGCCGCAATCATAAAAACTTGAACGATCGACACGTGTGCAGAATTTCCGCGCGCTCGCTCTCTCCAGCAAAAAAGCGGAAAAACGCCAAGCCAATGAAAATGTCTGTGGAAATGTATCGCATATGCTGGATGGATGCAGAGCATTCCCAGACTAATACCCACAGATATCGATATGCTGCCATTGGCAAAATCCCCCAGGCAGCTGTGCCAGGCTCTCTGGCCACCGTAAACCGAAAACGGTAGCCGTGGTGCAACTTTCTATGCCCATGCAATCAAATCGCAAAAGCAAAACGCACCGCAAACGAGGGAAGCTGCGCGCGGCCGGGAAAACTAAAAGTAGGGAAGCCGAGAGGCACTGCAGCGAACAGCTGCCAATGCCGATGGACGGACGGACACGATGGTCGCCTGACTTTCATTAGCATTTCTAACGGCCAACGCAGCTGCCACAGACGAACTCCAATCCAATCCACTCCGACCGATCGAGGCTCGCCGTAAGTAGCCTCTGGACGCTGGACGCCGAGCGCTGGACGCGAACTGGATCGATCCGAGACGACATCGTCAGGCGGCCGAGACAAGGTGAAATCTGTCCGGGTGCACTTGAAAAAACAAGGGAGTCAATAAGAAGTAAATAAGAACCACATACTTGAAAGAAATATATTGATTGCGAAGTTTTTATGAATGTTATGCAATGAAATGTAACAGCGTGTAACTTAATATTATTCAGTTTATATATTTTCCATGTTACTGAAATTTCATGAATATTTCTCTCAGTGCAATTACGGCAGCTGTACGTTTTGCCCGCTGGCTGCATTTGCGTTGGAAATATTTTTAATTGCTATTGGAATTTTTCCATGTGCGCCTCGTGGACATCTTTCATTCGCCTGCGGATTGCGGATTGAGGATTGCGGATTCGTGTGGGTTGCTGCTTGTTGCAAGTTGCCGGTTGCCGGTTGCCGAACTGTATCGCAGCAGTTGGTCTGCAGCTCCAGCTTGCACTGCGTGACAATTGGCCAGCCGGCATTGAATTCAATTAAAGCCAACGCCGCTGGCCAAAAGCGAACTGCGATGCGATGCAGCGCTGACCGTTTGACATAATAACTGGCCACATTAGCAGCAATTGGCAGTGGTCAATTAACTTTTTTCTGCACATTTCGCTCTCTTTGCCCCGTTTCTCGCCACGCTTGTCGCGCTTTTCCTTATTTGCAACATTCATTGACACCTGCAACTCTGGAGCTGCAACTCCTGCTGCAATTGCTGCAGTTGCTGGTGTTACTGGTGTTGCTGTCGTGCTCATGTTGTTGATTGGCAATCAATTTGTTGCCCGTTTTTATGATTCGCAGTGCGTCAATGTCAACTAACTGTTTTTCTACCTCTCTCTGGCAGTTGGTAATTTATTATGTTGTTGCAGTCGCAATTAACACGGCAGCAACATGAGGCATCGGCCATAACAATGGCCAAAAGTTGATGTTGCATGTGGGTGTTGCAGCGGCAGTTGCGATGTGCGATGTTGCCGCTGTCGAATCGTGGCGCGTGTGGCAGACGTGAAACGTCTACCAGTTTTCAGTTTACCAGTCAGCCGAACCCAGACATATGGCCAAGATAAGCGGCATAATTATGCAAATTTGTTATAACAATCAGCGGCAGCCACAGCAACAACTGCAATTCCGCGGCGACGGCAACATTTTATGGCCAGCGTTAAATGCCGTCAACGGCAATTGCGATTGCCATTTATGGGGCGTTAGAATCTAAGTTATAACATAATCACCTGTGATAGTTTTTATTTATTTGCCTATATTTGAATACCCGCCGGCGTAACACTTTCAACTCGTTTTGTTCGGCGTTTCTAGGACCTGAACAAAGCCTTCATAAATCGCCTTTGGCCAGGCCGTAATAAACTTGAAAGCAGCCCCACTGGGGAAATTTGAATACAAACATTGACAATTGACGGAGTCTGTCGGAACATTGGGTAGCAACAAATCAATTGCAGAAGCAGAAACAATCGCATTCATATGACAGAGTAAAGTGAACAAAAAATATGGTCAACAAATTTAATGAGAAAAATATAAATATATGTATTGCAATTATTAGTTTCCTATTGCTCAGTATTGTATTATTGTTTTTTTTTAAATGAGATTAGTTTCTGTGAAAAGGGTTAAATAATTTCGATGGAACTTTTTTTTTTTTGAGTGCCTTTGGTATTCAGATTCCTTAGTGGCTAGGCCTCAATCGCTGTTCTCCATTCTGGCTGGTGACTACGCATGCATAAATGCCTTTATAATCATTTCGTTGAACAAAATTTAGACGTCACTCGGCTGTCAGTTGGGGTTTGATCGCCTGACGAGCTGGACATGTGGAAGACTTTGCAGGAGCAACAACATCCGAGATCCAAGAGTCGAGAGTGGAGAGGCAAGAGACCCAGGGCACCAGATCATGTCCATATTTGCATTTTTGAAATGACACATGGAAATTTTACGTTGTTTTGCCTTTTGAAAGCGAGCGGCCAACAGATTGACAGCAGCTGCAACCGATGACAACAGCAACAGCAGCAGCAGCAGCAGCAGCAGCAGCAACATGAGACCATACGGCAGCAACAATGGCCTGGAATGGAATGGTGAGCGAAAGTCGTGCGCAAATCCGAGCAGGCGACAGCATATGGATATGCTATATGGGCTATATGTGCTATATATGCTATATGGATATATGGCCATAGCCCGGTCGTTGCCAGAGATAATTGCTGTCGCATATTTTCCACGCGTCCACTTGTTGTCGCCGACCGGCACACAAGCAACATTGCAGACACAGCAGCAACATGTGTTGCCCCCGGCTGCTGGCCGTCTGCCTTTTCGGGTTATGCCAACGGCAACGGCAATGGCAACGGCAACATGTTGCAACCGGTAAATCGGCAAACTGGCTATCTGACGCCCGGCTGTGCAAATATTTGGAGCTTCCCCCGATAGGATGTTACTTACTGCCGGTCATTATCATTTTCAGCATATGTGCGCCCTATCGCCAGCGTTTTTAATGCACTCCGCTCCACTGTGCGGCCAAGTTCAATGTCTGGCACAACAGCAACAACAAGCCACGAGAACAACAAGCAAACAAAACAAATGCAAAACGCGAGTAAAAAGCGTTCCAGAGAGAGATAATGTAATTAAATAATATAGGCACTTGATAAATGCCCTGTAACCATTTCACAATAACACTTTGTTTTGATCTAGATTAAAAATTAAATAAATAAAATAATTAAACCTATTTTTTCGTGACATATAAAAATACCTGGTTGGGAATATAAATACTTTCGATTATTAAAAAATCCTTCTGCACCTGTTAAACAAGTGAAATAGCATTAAAAACCGTTAAATTCGATGCACACTTCTCCATAATTTTTCACGCTGTATTCTCCGAGAGAACTTCTGGGGGAGAGTGGCCAAAACCAGAGAGAGTGGCGCTCACCTCTCTCCTGCGCACCGGCAGTCGCCTCTTTTGTGTGCTTAGGGCCCGTTTTCGCTCAGTTGGAAGAAAAAGACGCAGCCACATGGACATGCACAGGCTGATCTACGAAGTCCAGCAGCGTCCCGCTCTCTGGGACTCCGCTCATCCGGACCACGCCAACCGGCCGGAGACGCAGCGGCTCTGGAACGCCGTCGCCGAAGCCACCGGGCTCAACGGTGAGTGCACTGCGAGAAATTACAATGGGCTGTTTGTTTCGGGTTGCTAGCAATAAAAGTTGTTATCTACATTAGTCATTGGTTATTACAAATTTAAGAGCATACTAACACATTTAACATTTGGTCATGTATCACTTAATTACACTGCAAGAAATTATTTAAATGAAGAAAATATTTAATTATTTAAATTAAAATGGGAATAAATTTAAGTACAACAAATATATAATATATTGTTTTTTTTTTTTTTTTGTTTGTTTACCTCTTGTGGGTAATGAATTTGTTTACTATCACACAATTGTCAACTTGTAGTGGACAAACAATTATGGAACTACATTGATAGCAACCTTTGCTTGTATTTTTTAATCTTTTTGCACCCTCTGTGCCTTTTAGTGGATGTGTGCCGCAGCAAGTGGAAAAATCTGCGTTGCAGTTATCGCCGCCAAAACAGACGCAGTGGTCTCTTGAAGCACCAACAGTCGGCCTCGCCTGGTCACCAGTGGGTATTTGCGGAGGCCCTGAGTTTTCTGGACGGCCAGCGATTGCTGAAGGAGGACAGGGACAGCAGCAACAACGAGGAGGAGCCGGAATTGGAAAGTGCATTCAAAGCAGAACCCGAGCCCATGGTGACGACCTTCAAGTCGGAGGAGTCCTCGGCCGCCGAGGAAATGGAGGCGGACAACGATGCCCTGATGCAGGAGTTCCAGAACGCCGCCACTCCGCAGGCGTTGCGCAGACTCTCCCAGAGCATTTCCCTGGCCAGCGCAGCAGCTGAGGAGCAGGTGGCTCCTTCCGCCTCCTTGGGACTGAAAGTGGGTCCCGGAATATCCGTAAATCCGAATTTGGCACAAGGAACGGCTTTGGCAGCCGCGGCAGCCAGCAGTTGCCACTGTGCGAAAAGAGTGGACGAGCAGGTGAACTTCTTGGAAAACCTAGAGCGCGAGGAGCAGCAGCTGATGCAGTCCACCAGCCAGGATCTGGCCAGGTGCAAGAGTGTCCTGCACGTGGGCGACTCCGACTACAACTTCCTAATCAGCTTTCTGCCGCTGATGAAGCAGATGACGCCCCTTCAGAACATATTCTTTAGGGCCAAAATGAGCGAGCTGCTGCTGCAGACAATGCAACAGCCGCCGGTGCAACAGCAACTGCAGCAGCAACAGCAACCGCAGCAACTGCAGCAGCAGCAACAGCAACTGCAGCAACAGCAGCCCTCGCAAATGTTGTTGAACCAACAGCAGATGGCCTTGGATCAGGCGCAAGTGAGCACCAGCTCCACGAATTGGAACTGAATCAAGGATTGGAGCTAAACAAGTGGGATATATATATATATATATATATATATACACTATGATGTGTACGAACTGAGAACAGAGAGCGATAGCGCCACAGTGCGCAAGTCCAGTGCACCGTGGTCGCCTTCCGCTGAGATTATTTGAGACTTTTATCATTGAATGTGAATAAACGATTTTATTAAAGTACGCTTTTCAAGCTTTTAATTAAGGGAGTTTTCTTTAAAAATTATCTCATACTTTTCCAAAGGCTAGCTAACTAATTAGAGAAATACAGAATATATTTCCCATAAGGGTTATGCCACTCTGTGGCACTGAACACAAGTTAATGTATTGCATAGCTTTCATTTAGCAGGATGATTGAGCCCTCTGCCCGCGATCATTGCTCTTTCCAGCTGCGCATGCGCCGCAGAGTAAACCCAAGATGATAGTGACAATCGTGTGGGCGTTCGAGTGGATTCTGCAGCCTCGACTTTAGCTTCAGCTTCAGCTTTTGTGCCTTATTGCCAGCTGCAGATGCAAGGGCATCCGACGTAATCTCGCCTCCGGCTGCCCACACATGTCCGCATTTAACCGGGGAATCAGGGAATCGGGGAACCTCGCCGCGTCGCCTCAATAAATTACTGAACACTAGAATGAACCCCGTCGTCGGTGGTCCTGCTTTTCCGTCCGTCCGTCCGATCGACCGTCCGTCCCTGTGTTAAAAGCCAAGTCCAAACTTAACATGACCATAAAAAAGAACGCGGCTACAAAAGCAAACAGAGGAGGGGGATAGGTCGCTCAAGAAATCAACGCAGCTGCGGATGACGAATCGAAATTGACATTGAACTGCGGCTGGAGCCTCCAGAGGCGTGGGTCCCCAGGGGGGTCGGGGAAGGGATTGGGGGGGACTCAGGGGGAGAGGCGACAACAATCGACTCGGTGGCTTTTGCTTTTGCCTCGGCGACGTCATGTGTTTGAACTTGTTGCAGCCAGTCGGCCAGGCAGTTGGGGCACGGGCATGGCTATTGTCTTCAGATCTTGGTTGTTGGTTGTTGGCTCTTGGCCTGCCCCATGAATTCCAATTTCAATAGCAGCCACAGAGGTTACTAGTGCACTCAAAAAAAAATATAGAGAGCAAAGGAGTTATATTGGAAAGGAGAAGGTATATAACAAAAGATGGTAGGGCTTCAACAATATTCAAATAATTAGTAAGTAGTGTGTTATGTTAATACACTTGCTGTAGATTATATTTATTATTAGCATCCTTTTCCTAGGACTTAAAGGTCCATTAACAATATTTTCCAGTGTAAACATCGCTCTGCAAAACAGTTTAAGGTGTGTTCTTGAGCTTGAAAGCCGTCGAGCCCACAGTGGCAGTTACCGAGTCGAGTCCAGTGATTGGAAACAGTTGGGGAGCTGATTGAAGGGGCGGGGGCGCAATTAACGGCAGCCAAAAGAAACATTTGCAAATCGAATGCAAATTGACATTTGTCACTCGAACGTGCCCATGGCCAATGCCTTAAATTCCACGCTGCCGAACATTCCAAATTCGATTTCCATTCGCCGCTCTTGGCCGGACTCCGGACTTTTGAACAGGGCCAGAAAAGCGGAGCGGCATGAATCCAACCGAAGAACCATAAAGATAGATAGCCGAATCGGTGATGGATTTTCGCACCTCTCCTTCGACGTGTTAATGATGCGGATGGCCAAGAAGTGCATTTACCTGTTCTTTTCGGCTTTTGTTCTTTCGCCGCCGCCGCCACGTCAAATGCAAATTTCCCTCTATTCAGCTCACGTGAAATATTTGTTGAGATTTCCATGAGAGAGTGCATTCTGGCACACAGGTGTTAAGTCTCGCAGGCCATTGTTAATGCGTTGCAGTTGCAACCTCTTTGCTTCTTTGTGTGCCACAGCCACCGTTAGCATGTTGCGGAATTTCCAGAATTCGCTTAATTCATCCTCATCCTCGGGCGGTACAAAAGGGTTTTGCATTCCGCATAAAAACCCCACCTCTTGCACTTTTTTTGCCTAGTTCGGAATGGCCATCAGGTGCAGCAGAGGCAATAAACGTTGCAGATGTTCAATTGCTGAGTAATGAAAGGGGTGGCCAACAAAGGGATTGAGCAACATTTGGCCAGCACTCGGTTTTGGCCAGGTAATCGAGTTCAGGAAGCCAGTTGGCGATTTCCGATCATGTTTCGGGGATTATTATATTATAAAAATATCATTTTAAATATTTACTTAAATGTATTTACTGAAATGAATGTTATTTATTAACTTTTAATAATTATTAACTTTTATTTTTTAAACGAATGAACACTAGTAAATCGCACGTTTCCCATATTTCCCAGAACCTTACAGTCAGATTTGCAGCTCTATAATTTAGCCTCATCATTAATTTGGCTTTTGTGGCCGGCCCGAACGGACTTCTTTTCGTGACCATAATAAATGCCTGTGACACCTCTTAAGAAGATTATGCACATAAGGTTGCACATTATCCTCGCTGCCCAGATGATTCCCGTCGTCTGGGAAAGGCAGCTCCATTCGGAGTTGCCTCCCATTCAATGGGCCATAATCTCGATCCGTTTGGGCCGCCACAAACCAATCAAAACATGCACTTAACATTTGGCTGATCCCCCGGCCAGCTTTACGAACATCGTTAACACACGAAAAATAAGTGTACAAATGCTGAGTCACTGGTGCTGCGCAGTCCAAAAATGTACCGCCCTCGTCAGAGGTCCCCCTTCCCCTCATCCCCTCCCCCATTTCCCCACCACATCTCCATCACATATTTATTTTCCATTGGGCCGGCGAGCAATCAAGCGGAGTCAGTGGGGCCTTTGTATTGCCATTGCCTCGAAGCAATCAATGCTGTATGACAGCTAGGTTAACTGCCACCTCCGTCCCCTCCACTTGCCCCTCTAAAAGCCCCTCAAACCCCACCACATCACATCTGCGATCCTACGCGCTTCCTCTTGATTTCGTTAAGTAAATCTCCAACTTGGCCAGGCGGCTGGGCAACCTTCACGTGCTCGTCGTCGCCGGCGTCGCACGGTTGCGGTCGAAAAAATAGTTAAGTAAATATTCCCCAGCTAAACACGCACAATAAACATGAATAATTGAACAAAAATCATATAGCTGCTTAGCCATCGCGGAATTCTAAGATTTAAGACTATGCAATTTGCTAAGCCTCCTGCACTTTGGATTTATGTTAACTTGACTGTTTTGGCCAACAATAAATCCACCGAAGCAACATCTGCCATTTCAGATGGCTTTGTAATAAGCTCCTAGAAACTTGATCTATTATTTTGCCCCCAAATGTAGATGTTGTTGGCGTCGCCAGCTGTCCGTCCGCGGTTTCCATGGCTCGCAAGTCGCGAGATCATGATCATGGCTTTAACTGGCTCTTGGATCTTGGTTGTTGGCTGTTGGCTGTTGGATCTTGGCATAGTACCAGTCGCAGTCCGAGTTCGAGTATTTTTAACTCTCCTTTGGACTGCGGCTGCGTTTATTGTTGTCTCGTTGGGATCCCCCCGTACCCCAACCTTCGCCGCTCCACAGCGTCTGTTTTCTTTTTAAACGCTTTTAAACACCTGAGAAACTTGCTTTTTAATGTGCGCACATGTGTGCGGTGCTCGCCACGAAGCGGAGATGATGATGAAGATCGCCTCGCTCCTTCGGGCTCCCCATCTCCATCTACTCCCATGCCCAACTGCGACGACTTCAACTGCCTCGTTTGTGGCGCGATGATGAAGCAAATATAACAAATCTGAGAGTTATCAAGCGACGACCGTCGCACAGCTGAGTAAATCAATTGACGCGCACAATTCTTGGAATTTTTTGTCGCCGCTCTTTGAGAGCTCTTTCCCGGCCCTGATCTTCTATCTTTCGCTCCATGGAGCTGCGTGGGGCTATTCGGAATTAGATGCATTTACCTGTGCAGCATTTGCATGGCATCGAGGGGGAGTGTTAAAAAGTTAGTGAGGCAAGTCAGGAAATCAGAGTACCTATTTTCTAAATTATATTTATAATTTAAATATGAGGTGTTCATAACATAATGCTCCTAACCTCCAAGACTGCTTTATTGGTTTATAAGTCTTCCTGTACGTAAACGTAAAATAATTACAGGGAACAGAGCCTCAAAATGTATTGATGATGTGGTAGCAATTAGAGTAGTTTTTCCCTGCTCTGGAATAAATTCAAGCCGGCTCCCTGATCTTTCCTCACCAGTGTAAAATTACCGGCCGACAAGGACGTTAATGGTCCAATGTGCGCCTGTGTGAGAGTTACTAGATGGCTGGCCGGATTGTGGGCCCCCACGGGCAATGTCGGACAAAGACGCGATCGAGATTTATACCTAAATGATTAACCATTTCCCCGCCGACCCCGAAACGCCTGCGGATGCATCTGAATCTTCTGCGGCTGTGGGTGCCACTTGGTGTGAATTTGTAATGCGTCTGCCTGCGTTCGGTTTTCTTTTCTTTTCCCGATGGTTTTTATACATTTTCTGTGTTTCTGTCTGCTGTTTTTTTTTTCGGAATGCTGCTGCACTGCTGACCATTCTTCGGCCGGCGATTGACACCTGCATGCATTTCTCGTTTCTCAGGTGTGCGGAGCCCCGGAGCTCAGGTGTGTGTGTTCGTTCGGATGTGAGCTGTTTCTTTATTTTATTTCACTTCTTCATTTCTGTCTTCTGCCGAGGTTGAGTCATCGGCCATTAAAAACACGATATTGCTGACTGTGATTGTGTGATTGGAAAGGATTTCATTTCGTCGTCCCAGGTAGTTTGTTGTGATTGTCCCAAAAGGCATGACGTGTCCGGTTTTATGAGTAACCTTAGACCTTCACTCCCTAATGCATTTTAATCAGTTGAAATGCATTTGTTTCGGTTTGAAAGGACTGTGGGATATGGTAGAGAATATTAGATAGTAAAGCCACAATTTTTAGAGATCTTATTAATACACCCAAAAAGAATTATTAAATGCATATTATAATAAAACAAATTTTCGAACAAAATCAGGCACTCCAACATGTTTAAAAACCAACAGAGGCGGTCACAGAAATTTCGCCAGCTCACAATCTCCACCTTTTTGGCCCAGAAACAAGGTTACGGGCACATAACCGTTAATGCGCCTGTGCGCAGGTGTGCGAAAGCATTAAAATTCCACTCGAAGCCAAACAAAGCAAAAAGCAGCCCACAAAAACTC